CAGGTGTTTAATTGATGTTCATGTTATTAAGAGCATGCTGTAATAATTCAGCAGCCTCATTAGACAAATATTTCTGATATGTTCAGGAGGAATTGCCTTTCTCTTCAAAGGAAACTGCTTTTGGCCTGTGAGTCTCTTCATGTAAGCCTCTAATTTTTTTTAAATTGGCTTGGGGTTCATTCAAGTTATTCTAGATGATTCCATTTTGCTGAAAATTTCTACCACTTAATAAGAAATTATCTCTTTTGTTATAATAGGGTACCTTTTGATTTGAATTTGAAAAGGTTTTAAAAATTTTATTTGGCTGTGCCAGATGTTAGTTGTGGCATGTGGGATCTAGTTCCCTGACCAGGTATGAACCTGGGCCCCCTGCATTGGGAGGGTGGCATCTTAACCACTGGACCACCAGGGAAGTGCCAGAATTTGAAGAACTTTAATGCACTTTCCTATCTTTCATGCTCATACATCCTGATTTCAGTTGCTGCAGTTACTTATTCATTCATTCTTTAATTCAAAAGTATTTGTAGAATGACAGCATTGTGCCAGGCACTGTCCTGGACTGTAGGGTTTGAGTTACCAACCAAAATAATAGCTGGATGAAATTTGAAAGCTTTAAAGGATATAACCTTAGATAAGTATTAATGTGTGTTTCAGTTAAAGTCATCTGTAGGGACTTCCCTAGTGGTCCAATGGCTAAGAATCTGCCTTGAAATGCAGGGTACACATGTTTAATTAATGGTCAGGGAACCAAGATCCACATGCCATGGGGCAGTTAAGCCTGCACACCACAACTAGAGAGTCCGTGGGCTCCTATAAAAGATCCTGAATGATGCAAGGGAGATCCCGAGTGCAATAACTAAGACCCAGCACAGCCATTTACATAAATAAATAAAAATAAAGTCATCTATAATAATAATATAATGGTAAACAGTTATAGTAGGCACTATTAGTTTTTTGATTTTTCAGATGAGGAAAACTGAACCACAGAGAGGTTAAGTGACTTCCCCATGGTCACACAGCCATTTGGCTAAAGGCCAGGACTTGAACCAAGGCACACACGAGTTCAGGAGCCTGTGGTCCCCTCTGCCTTGTTCTGTCTCCCCAGTGCGATGATGGCTTAAGACTTCAACCCTCCAGCCACTGTCCGGCAGTTACTTTGGTTCATCACCTATGATCAAGAGATTATTTTGAGGGCAAAGGGGAATAATAATACACGGATGGCTCTTAAAAGCATGCTTGGCACACAGTATGCTTTGATCCATGTTGCCCAGCCTCTCTTCTTCCTCTCTCTGCCATTTGCTACATTCTTCCTTCTCCTTTTCCCTCTACTCCTCCCCCTTTAATATTATTAGGGGTGAAGAGTTCAAACAGCTGTGTAAGAAACAACAAAATTTAAAAAGTCAGTTCAGCTTTTTAAAAGAATAACTTCCAAAGTAAGAGTAAATATCAGATTGTAAAGTACTTAGTGTGTCTGAGTGAGAGTCAGGTTGTCCTCTTTGATTTTTTTCCTTTAGTGTTTTGAGGAATCCAGATTTACATTCCTGCTTTGATTATAGGTTACTATCTTTGAGGGTTGAAATCCAGTTGGAAAAACTTGCAACAAAACTTGCTTTATAGATGCTAGCTGATCTTCCCAATGTATTAACATCTATTAGAGACAGTTCTGGTCCAGCAGCAACGTGGCTTTTTGCTTTTGAAGTTTTCCATGTTATATTTGAACGTCAGTGAAGTTGGCGGTGATATGTAAGTTGAAGCAAGTTGAAACTTTGTGTAACCTTGCATAGGGAAGCTAGAAATGCAAAGACAGCTGCCCAATTGTTAGATTACAGACTAGCCACCGATAAAACAGAATTTCATCTGAATATGGGTTGTAGAGATGTTCAGGTAGAGAAGCCCTGGTTGGTCTTGAAGTTGATATGCACTCCTTCTTCTTGCTGCTGTAATGGTTACTAAAAAATGGGAACACCTTGACTTTGTATTACTCTGATTTCATTCTCTGTTCTTTTTAGTCTTTTCTTATTGTGAAAAGTAACACAGAAATTCAACTCAGTGTTTCTCACAAAATGAACACCTTATCATAGTCACTTCCATGCTTTTTGTTATACATTCACACTTACACATATTTAGTGGGTGCATCCTTCGTGGTACTCCAATGTTTAAATTCTTTATCTGCCGTAGCTGCTGACTGAAGTGCAATACCAGCAAGAGTGACTTTATCATTATCCCATAAAGGACTCTAAAGTCCTCTATAGGAGATGCTGTACTATTTCTTAGAATTCTCAAAGAGATCATTTTTAACATTCTTTAAGTTATATCACAAACATCTTTGGCACCTGCTAGGGTGTTCATTTGTAGGACTGATGTTGAAGCTGAAACTCAAATACTTTGGTCACCTGATGCGAAGAGCTGACTCACTTGAGAAGACCCTGATGCTGGGAAAGATTGAGGGCAGGAGGAGAAGGGGATGACAGAGGATGAGATGGTTGGATGGCATCACCAACTCAATGGGCGTGGGTTTGGGTGGACTCCAGGAGTCGGTGATAGACAGGGAGACCTGGCGTGCTGCGGTTCATGGGGTCGCCAAGAGTCGGACACGACTGAGCCACTGAGGTGAACTGAACTGAACTGAGGCACTTAATAAGTTAAAAGGCCCCCAAATTATCATTTCTGCTTTGGTTTTCTTAGAAGCGTGTTGGTAGTTCTTTCCTATGATAATGTTGTAAAAACAAAATATTTTTTAAAAGTTGTCTATATTTCCTACATTATTGAGTCTTCTCCTAACTGTTTACCCTATTGGTCAGTCTCCCCTGTCCCCGTGATGTCCCCTCTCAGTGATGCTCCACCACCATCCTTCTCTTACCTAATCCAGGGAGGACCCCGTGATGAGTCATGCATAGCTCCCCACTGCTTTCCTGTTTTAATTCTTCATCCCCTGAAAATTCCAGGTGACATTTACAATTCAGTTTTTCAACTTTTATGATCAGGACTTGTTTCTCATAGAGCTTAATCCTGAATTGACTTGTGCCCTGGATGTGGACTTCATAGTCAACTTGATGCATCTGGAATTAATTCACTTTTATGACCTTTCTCCTCACTCTGCCTTTGCCCTAGTTCCTTTGAACTAACTTGTCTCCTGGTTTAAAGGGACACAGAGCACACCAGATGGCCCCTGGGGGAAATGATCTTTTATGTAGATGCTTTGGGTCAATGACTGTCCATTTCTGAATTTGTACTTGCTTTATCCACCCATTTTTCTCATTTTGTTGATACTATGGAATTCACTGCGTGAGTCCTGTGGACAGATGACTTATCACAGGCTTAGACATTATGTACTTTCTTTTGCCAGAATTTGATTATTTCTGCCAAAATGTTCTAGTGAAGAGTCTTTTGGTTAAGAAGAAAAGAGAACTGTGACTTTGCTCACCTAAAAAGGGAAAGGCGTTGCACAGAATGAAAGTTGTTTTGGAATTCAAGGCAAGGAAAGGAAGCAAGCCCAGGCCCATCCAGACTAGGCCTGCAGATTGGAAAGCTGTTAGAAGTCAAGGTAGCTTCTAGAGCCCAAAGAAACCAAGAAACTCCTTTCTCTCCCATTTGAGCCCTCTTTTCTGCATGGTCATCTCGCCTTCCTTTCCTTTTCCTCTCTCTCTGCTCATATGCAGATCTTTCTTTGGGAACTGGCTTCCTCTGTATTCTTACAACTTTTACCTGTTCCCCCAAAATATCTTCTTCAACATCAAAACCTCCAGGAGTTTTTAGCTCAAGTGCCTACCACTAACTGATTAGCGCCTTAGTGTTTTAATTACACAATCCCAGGTTAAGGATCTTAATTGTATCAAATAGTTTTGTTTTTCTTTTCATTCAGTCTAAACAGTTTGTGGATTACCAGAAGACTAGCTTTGGTGGGTGGAACTCTACTGATGGTAGAAGGTGGCTTTGGCAAGGTGGCTGTGGCAATAGAGGCAACTTCATGTCAGGTCGATTTCTCTCTCTCCCTCGGTTCTTGTCTTGTCGTAACAAAGATTTGGGATGGTAGACTAGTTACAGCTCACAGAGACAGGATATCTCAGTTCCTGTCTCAGTGTAGCAAGGATTCGAAACTACTGACTGGTTACAGCTCAGTTACAGTTCTTTTATTAAACAGAGGGGTAGTACATTCCCAAGACGTGGGAGCAGGCTGACTCCAAAGGAGTAGCAGAGAGCGCTCTCTGCTTCCCTTTTTATACCCCCTGTCTCCTCTTGATCTGCCCTGTGCAGAACAGGGCTTGTACCCACCACCAGTCAGGAAAGGGAATGCAAATAGGTGTATGCTCAAGGCTGATTGGTAACTGCAAGTTGTATAATGATAGGGGGCCAAATGTTATTTGAATGGCCTTATAAGGACATTTAGTTTAATTAAGAGCAAGTACAGGTTTCTTACTAGGAAACTGACTACTGCTACTAAGAAGTGATATGTCATTTTAAAGTCACTTGAAGTTGTCAGATAGTGACTCTGAAACCATCCTGTTCTGGTACTAAATGTGTGGGAGAATGATGGCTGCAGGAACTGTTCAGTGGTCTCGCTTGTGTGTGTGTGTGTGTGTGTGTACATACATACCTGTATGTGTGTGCTTTATCTTTTGAGGGGAGGTGGTGAACACTGGATTAGGAGTTCAAAGACCTAAGTTCCATTTATGGTTCTGTTGTGACTTATAAATTATTAACTCTTGAGCCTTGATGCCAGATGCCTTACAGGTACTGGTGAAAGCACTCGACAGTTTTCAAAGTGCTATAAAAATGCCACGTTGATTTATTAGCTGAATTATGAACTACTGGAATCAGACTGGCTCATGAATAAAAGTTATGTTGTGCTAACTTTGAACCCCTCCACCTCAAAAAGCAAGTAATTCTTTATGATGCCAGAAGAACAAGATTCTAGAAAACTAAGTTTTGTTTGCTTTTTATAATATCTATTTGCCACTTTACTAACTCCATTTCTGTCTCTTTTTAATGCTGCCTCTTAGCATACGCTCCATTCAACACTCAATTAGCATGCCTGCTATGAGGTAAAGTATATTTTCACAAAATGTAGTTGGTCTGATGCTTTCTTACTTTTTATCCAGATGTTTCTCTTGAACTGTTCCAAAGTAGGAGCTAGAAGTCTGCTCTAAACAAGCTGTGAAACCTGTTACCAGCTTTCCAGTTGGTCCTCCCAATGTTATTAGGCTGGTGTAAGAAATCCACTAAATGTTTGTGATTTTAAAAAGGAATTATTATTTCTACTTTATTTTGTAAATGTGTTAAATTGTTTCATTCTGGAATCTGTTTAATAACAAATTGAACACTGCTCATCTGTTCAACCTTTTCTTTTCATGGATGGAGGTGGCCCACCTCCTCTGTTCACATTAGCTTTAGTTACAGTCTCCCTTTCTCTCATCCTCCCCATTTCTACTTCCCTCATCCCATTGTGACATCTGGAACCAACTGGGATCTGATTCTGTGTCCTCTTCCACCAGTAAGCATTTTACTGTCTCACCTGACCTCTCTATAGAGGCAGAGGATTTTTCAACAGTGTACACTTGACTTGAACTTTAGTGTCCATTGGGACTACCTGGAGGGTTTGTTACAAGTCCCGCCTGATGGGCCTGTGTCGACTTTCTGATTCTGTAAGCCTGGGGTGGGACCTGAAAATCTGCTTTGCTAACAACTTCCCAAGGGCTACTGATACAGCTGGTCTGGGGACCACCCTTTGGGACCAACTGCCCGTCACCATGGTGGGAAGGGGGAAGCTCATTTTTCCTTCTTCTCGTATTTCATCATGGTAGTAGGAAGTGTATTGGAGGTCAGGTGGATAGTATAAAAGCTTTGGAAACCCAGGAGAAATCGACACACAGGCACTGTGATCCTCCCTAACTAACGTGGATGAGTATGAAGGCACGGGAGAGGCTTCCTGTGGGCTTGGAGGGCCTCTGTTCATTGGGGCAGCTTTGTGAAGTGGCCAAATCCAGCTTCCTGCTCCTCCCTTCCTTTTGGTCTCTGTTTCTCTGTTATGCTGCTCCTGGGAATCAGGATCTATGGTGTGGAACCTCCTGTGGTTTGCTTGTCCTGCCCTGCTGAGCTGACGTGGGTTCGGGTAGAAATCTTGCCAGGCAACATATGAATTTAAACATTAGTTCTAGACTGTAGCACTTTAACCAAAGTCAGACTGGGCTAACAGTGGCTTTTTCTTATACGGTGACAGGTTGGTGGAGGAATTGATGGACTCAGTGTTGTACCTGACTTTGTTCCCTCTTCTCACACATGTGTTTTATCTGCATGTCTAACACTGGCTCTGTGCAAAGAATCAAAAAGATTGTTGTAGAAATCTTAGAACAGAAGTTGATAATCTCACATAATAAGACACCATTTGTATGTATGCCTATGGTACAGTTGTTAACATATGGTTTGTGTGTTCTTTTGCTGATTGAGAATAATGGCGAAGGGGAATACAGTTAACTAATAATGTTTTCTGAATTGTTGAAATTTTTGTTCAGTGTGTGTAATTTTATTATCTATTTTTCTTTTCTCTCCATAGAAACTCTCCAACTTTCAAATCATTTGAAGAAAAGGTCGAAAACTTAAAGGCAAGTAAAGAAATGAATAGGGTCTTTCTGTTATCTTGTTTGGTGCCTGAACTTTCTTTGTTGTGGGTAGATTATTCAAATTAGAATTTCCTTTCAAAAATATTTAAAAGAACTTTAATAACTTTAATCCTTACCTTATTAATGGATATTTAAGGTGATATATTGGAGAAGGAAATGGCAACCCACTCCAGTATTCTTGCCTGGAGAATCCCATGGACAGAGGACCCTGGCAGGCTACAGTCCATGGGGTCACAAGAGTTGGACACGACTTAGCGATTAAACCAACCAAAGTGATACATACTCTTAATAAAATTTTTTGAGTATATATTGTAGTATGACAGCATGAGTGCTGAAAAGAAATGTATAATTTTTAAAAGTAGTACTTCAGAAGTTTGTGCTGCTTTTTGTATTATTCACTTCAAATACTTTTGTAATTGGACAAAATGTAATACAAATCTCATTCTAGAAAATTAAAAACAATATAGAAAAGCACAAAAAATAAAACACCAAAAAATGGTCCTACAATCCAGGGACAGTGATATGTTGTAGGATTATACTGTTACACTTAAAAAAAAAATTAACCAGGGACTTCCCTGGTGGTCCAGTAGTTAAGAATCTGCCTTGCAATGCAATGGATGTAGACTAGATCCCTGGTTGGGGAACTAAGATCCCACATGCTATGGAGCAGCTAAGCTGGAGAATGGCAATTAGGGAGTCTGGGCACCACAGTGAAAGATCCTGCATGACACAAAGATGATCTTGTATGCTACAACTAAGACCTGATGCAGCCAATAAATATTTTTTTAAAAAAAGAATTAACCATAAATCATAAACATTTTTCTGTATCATTAAGTATTCTTCAATATTATGTTTAACAGCTGCTTGCATAGCCTTATAATGGATGTTGTTTGTTCAGTCCTTAATTATTGGACATTTTTATTATGATGATGATGCCATGGTGATCAATGATGATTCACCTTTGTTTTTTGATGGCTTTGATTTTGGTGAAGGTGGACATTTGCCCATAATAATCAACTTTATGAATTTGTAAATTGCATTATCTTCAAGATTATATTTGAAACTATAAATTCATCAAGGATCACAAGTGATGAGAAATGATGTTTTGTTCCCATCCACTGTCCAACCTTCTCCACAGAGTTTGTACAAAGCCCATATGTTCATTTTTTCCAAAACTAATTATGGTAATTATGGTGGATATCTTTAAAATAAAATATCTTAAGTAATAAACTTAAAAACAAATTAAAACTAATATCTTAAGTATTAAGATAAAACTGATATCTTAAGTATTCCATATATATCAGCTTTAAAATACTCATATTTTATCTTTCAGAATTGTAATTGAGTCACTTCTTTTTAAATACAGCTTTTTAAAATTACAGAATCAGGGTGTGCTAATAGAAAAAAACCAAACACTGTATCACAAGCTGGATCTTTTTTTCTTACATATAGAAACACTACTCCCACCTTTTCTCTTTCTACATAAATGTGTTTTTCAAAAAGGAATCATACTGTACACACAGCCCTGCAACTTGCTCATTTAATGCCCCCAGCATGCATGCTCTGATGAATCCACAAATGCAGGCCCCTGTTCTTTTTGCTCACTGATGCTTTTCAGTGGCCTGGAAGAGTCCTTGACACACTGCAGCTACTTAATACATATTTGATGAGAAAAAAAATTCATCATAGTCATTATTCTAGGTCAGCACCAGAGGCCTGCTTTATTCTTAATTCCTATTTAGGTATTTGAAAACAAACTGTGCATTCCAAGAAGTCAAGGTTTTACTCTAATTCAGTTCTCAAAATTTTAGGAATATCATAGTCTTTCCTTGAAATCTACCCTGAGTGTTAGTTTTTGAAATGACTAGCTGGAAAACCAGGCAGCCTCCGTTCTTTTAACAATGAAGAGGAGGAGAAACTTCCAGGTCATTATTATGTACTTTCCTCTGGAGTATATTCAGACTCTATAAAATCAGTTTTTGAAATATGACTAGGCACCATTCAGATTTCAAAAAATATAATTTTTAAAAGCATACAATGTATTAGACAAATACCACAAAGGAAGCTGTAAAATATAGTTGCATTCTTGGGATATAGTTTTTCCTAACTTACACTGATATTCAGTTAAACATGGGATCTACTTGTACTTTCATTTAGGTTTTGGATTGAGTCATTAACTGATTCTTCAGCATTTGTCATGTACCAGGAGATGAGTATTGGGCACTGGGAATACCACAGTGAGGAAGAGTGACACAGATGCTTTCTGAAGATGTTGAGGCAATTAAATGGCCAATGAAAATAAAGGGAGGGTAAGGGCTTCCCAAGTGGCTCAGTGGTAAAGAATCCACTTGCAATGCAGGAGAGGCAGGAGACGCAGTTTCGATCCCTAAGTTGGAAAGATGCCATGGAGAAAGAAATGGCAACCCACTCCAGTATTCTTGCCTAGAAAATCCCATGGACAGAGGAGCCTGGCAGGCTACAGTTCACGGAGTCACAGAAGAGTTTGAAATGACTTAGTGACTAAACAACAGCAACAAAGCAGTAGGACAGTGGAAGGCAAGGGTACAGTGAGGATCAGTAGTGGGAATCTGTCACCCTTGGCAGGAGGGAAGGTCAGAGAGACCGCTCTGAAGATGCAGTAATGTAAATGGAGGCCTTTAGGTTGAAAGGATTGTTTGAAGCTTTGGGGACCCTCTGAGGAACTTTACTGTGCTATAGGTTATAGAGCAAGAGACAGAGCTAGAGAGATAGGTGGACCACGTTAAAGAAAAAGTGGGAAGCCATTGAAAGATTTTAAACAATCCGAGTTGTGCATCCTTCTATGCATTTTAGTAAGATCACTGTCGGCCCTGCAGATCTAAGGGGAGAGAGACTGGAGAAGGAGACAAGGTGGGAGGAAGGTGTTGTGATCAGGCCAAAGTTGATGGCATATGAGTCGAGCTAGTGCCAGTGGGACAGGGTCGAAAGATATTTAGAATTTAGAAGTGACAAAAAGTTAGTGATTGACTGGATGGGGAACAAGATGGGGAAGGACCAAGGATAAGAAAGCAGTCTGACTGGGAGGTGCTACTGCCATTCATGGCCTTGGAGTAGGAAGGGACCAGTGGTGGGGAGGAGTTATTTTAGACTTATAAATTGCAAGAGGTCTTCTTAACATTTTCTTATAATTAAGGAATGTTTTAATAAATTTAATAACCATACAGTAGATACAAATTATGCAAATTTTTCAGACAATTCAAAGATTTTGGATGGGAGGCCAAAAAAAATGAGAGAGAAAATTTCAACTAGATTCCGATGTTAATGAGTCTGTGGCCAGTCATGACTGAGCTAAGAGCATTATTTTGTGTCTGGGAAACATACATGTATTTCTTTCCTTTGTTTTACTCAATAATATTTCACAAAATATTATCTAAAGAGAGTTCAGTAGATTCTTTAGCATAACAGGCCTTATAAAATTTTATAAATTTTATATTTATAAAGATAAGTTTCCCCGTAAAGAACAATAAGCAGACAGGGGGGAAAAGTAAAGGGGTAGAATTTACCAATTTGAATATTTTCAGCATGGAAACTGCATAGGTTTTTCTATGAAACCGCATGGAACATGACAACAGTACTCAATTCTGTACAAAGAGAATAATCACTGAGCTCAGGCTCCTGGTTTATTTTTCCTTCAAAGTAAGATTTGAGTTACTTTATGCAGAGTCAGCGAAGTGTGTGTGTCATAACGTCTCTTCCTTTTTGAACTTTTCAAAGTCTAAAGTCGGGGGAAACAAGCCTGCTGGTGGTGATTTCGGCGAAGTCTTGAATTCGACTGCAAGCGCTAGTGCCACCAGCACGGAGCCTCTTCCAGAGCAGACACAGGAGAGCCTGTGAGCCGCCCACCTTTGTTCTGCTACTCACTGCCAGATGCTGCAAGCGAGATCCAAGCACATCTTGTCAACATTCATTGCCATGAACTTCCACCAGATGTGCTTTTGTTGAGCTTTACATATTCCTTTGACCAAATAGCTTGTGGGTTGAACAATGTAAAAACATCTTCACTCCTATTCCTGGGAAACACCCTTTAATGTGCATTTCAGGCCCTTTATTTAGGAAATATCACGATGAAAACACATCTTGTACCTGGGGATCCTCACTAGAATGATCTGAGAAGCTGTGGGTTATCATAATTACTTACACAATTGCTCTGGGTGTGGGCTACCAGTTTGATCTTTGTCTTCTATACAGGTTTCTGTTTTTTCCTCTTTGAATCTGTATATTTGATTTCTAGATTAGACTGTTCTTTAAAATGATCTGCATCCTGGTTATTTAAAAAGTTTTGGCGAAATGTTCTTTACCTCCAAGGGAAGAACTATCAGCTACACAAAATATTTTTGAATATCGTTTGGGGATAAAGTATCTTATATCTTGGGTGCCTGAAGACACCAGACTAAAGAAATCCACTCTGTATTCAGTTTCTTATAGTTTTGTAAGTGACATTATGTACAGTAATTCTAAATCCTAGGTGACCTGAGAGTGGAGCCCTTTGTTTATCACCATCTGTGACAGTAACCATTTGAGTGCCATGGTTATTATGCCACTTATAGCTACTTACTTTTCACCAGATTAAAATTTTAGTTTTGGAGGAAATTCTAAGGTAACATTCTAAATCAAGCATATTGTATTATCAATAGGTTGAAATTTGAACACTGTCCTCAAACATTCAGTTCCAAAGCCTGAAAGTTTTTTTTAGATCTAGGTAGCTGAAAAGTGCTAAAATCAATCACATTAGGGGAAACTCTGTCTTCATTTAATTCACTTAGCAGCATTTAAAATAAGCACACCAAGTTATATGACTAATATAACTTGAAAAAATTTTATACTAAGGGGTTGGTGATAACTCCTGAGGATTTCATGCATTAATAAAAATTAACTCATCATTTTCTACTTACTTGTTTTCAGTTTGTTAGAAATTACAAAATGATACTGTAGGCATTGCCCCCTGTTTTGAAAAGTGTCAGGGCTGAATGAACCAAAGCCTCTGGAAGTATCTGCATGGAGGCCAAGGTACTCTCATTAACTCTAGCAGTTACTTACTCATCACCACTATCTTTTCCTTATGCTGTATATGGTTATGGCCTACAATGTTGTATTTGTTATTTATCAAGTTGTGATTGTTTTATTATTGTTTATGCCAAATGTTAATTGCCAAGTTTGGAGTGACCTAAAACATTTTTTAAAAGCATGACTAGATTTACTTGGGGATAAATTATCTTATGAAAACCAAATCTGAAAAACTACAAGTGTTGATTGTTATGAAGTACCATGCTGCCCTTCTTGATTGCTGGAGCTTTTGTGAGCACTTCAGATGCAACTGAAACTATGCTCTATTACATGTGAAAAGCTTAATAAATTCTGTGTATCAGTAGCACAGGTCTCAATATTTATTATGAGACCAATGGTCTGGAAACAGGTTGTTGTATTACATAATCAACTGGTGCCCAGGCTTTAAAAAAAAAAAAAAAAAGACAATTTTTTACCATCTGCTTTATATCATTGCTTCATGGTATCAGACTACCATAAACTATTTACTTGAAAAGGCTTTAAGGCAAAGGTTGTTGAAGCACTGTCCCAGAGGAATCCATGTGTATACATATTTCTTTTAAAAGAGATACTATGGTTACTCAATAAGGCTGGTAAGTTATTTTTTCAACCAATTAGTCTTTCCGTTGCTTTTATCACATCTTTCATCACATTGATTCTTGGATGTCCTGCCCTGTTACTGTCTTTTTAATAAGGCAAAATGGAGAAGATGTCGGTTTCTTTAGTTAAATGAAATATCCTCAAATCTCTTTATTTTATGGGAGAAATGATAGAGATAGGGTTGGAAGGTGGGATGGGTGTATGTGGGTACTGGTGATGGTTGTAAAAGAAAAAAATGGAGAAACACTTTTATAGACATCTACCTATAACTTAATTTAGAAATGATTTGATCTATGGCAAAGCACTCTGCCTCTAAAGAAGCAACAAAAAAGTAGAGGGAGAATAAATGTAGAAAAATACACATTAACTTAGAAATCTTATTCCAAGTAGTCTCTGTGGAAGATCCAATATTACAAATTCACAGATACTTAAGCAATTTAGAACACAGTAATTACTAAGAACACCAGAGAGGGATCCTGGTTATTCTACTGTGTTTCTTATTTGACACTAGAAGAACATCACAACGAGAGTGAGAGCTCAGATACTTAAGGATTCAAGAAGTGTGACAGAAGAAAACAATTCCTAAAATTATCCCCTTCTTACAAAGAATGTCCTTAATTTATGGAGCTCGTGGGAAATAAAGCAAGAATTCTTACACCTATGAAGCCAAAGTAATCCAAGGAAAAGAGTAGAAACCATTGGATTATTTTAGTAGTAATTCAAACTACTGAAATAGAGGGGGGGAAAAAAAACCACATTGAATTTGGACTATTTCTGGATCTGTTAATGAAGAAATACTACTGTTTATTTTTTGTGTGCGTGTATAGTATTTGAAAACAATAAAAATTCTATAATTTGGGCATGAGTTCTTTTGTATGTATTACATATCTGCTGAGGAAAGGGGGGTAAATCCATTAATTATACAACTTCTCTCCAGACCTGTTATATCCTGGATATAGAAAGAACCAGGAGTAGCTGTATGGAATCAATTTATCAAACAAAAAAGCTACATGCTGACTACACAAAGACATTTGTAAATGACTTTTTTCTGTTTGTGCCAGAGATGCTGCATAAGGCCTTATGTAAGAATTGCGTGTTTCTTTATATTAAGACCCAGATGACAAAACAGATTTTTACCCCTAATGGAGAGACACTGGGCCATTAATTAGTGAATTGTCCCATTGTAATTGGATTAATTATAGAGACCATTTAGTTTTCAGTTACTAAGAAAGCATTATCACTTTTAAGTAAACCTACAAACCACAGATTTCAGTTACCATGTTCTGATTCTGAAATAAAAATGAACCAAAATTAAAAGGAGCCAAAAGAACTCACATGCCTATCACCTGCCAGGACTTCATACTTAAATGCTGCTTGGCCACCTTCACTGTTAACACTTTCCACCCCATCATGCTTGAAAGTTTTCCTCTTGGTTTCTGGAATTCTTTTCTCATTTTCCTGTCTGACTATTCTCTGGCATTCTCTTCTTCCAAATCCTTAAATGTTATGGCCCATCTCTGGTCATCTACATGATTTCCTTAATGATAGCATTCATCTCTATGGTTGAAAGGACTTATCTTTACACTTATCTCTCTTGCCCTTTTTTTTTCACTAGCCCTTTTTTCCAGGTTTTCTTGCATGTTTGAAAGGCATAAACTTCTAAATCACCTTGTGATCACTTCCATCTAGCCACTAGTAGCCACTATTTGAGCTTTCAGTAGGTGACGGGCATTTCACACCCACTTCCTTCAATTCCTCACTCAAGGTTGTTATGATATCATCATTTTATAGATGAGATTACAGCCAGCAAAGAGCCAGGACTTGAATTATATTTTATTCACTTGCCATCTGCCATTACTATTTTTACAAAGCATACTAACAATTTGCAAGCTACATGGGAAAAAAGCAGCTTGTATTTTTAATAAATCAAGAAGGAAGGTGTGGTTCAAGGAATCGGGGCAGGATCAGAAGGGGCCATGATGTTAAAATACTGCCATTAGCGTCGGTTACTATTGGCACTAATATAGGGAAGGACAGTGTGCAGACTGACTCAGTCCTTCCCAGTCTTATCTGATTCTTCTGTTGCTCTGCCCAAAGCAGAGAACTAGGCATGCTTGAAGTTAGTTGATACAAAAAAACATCAGAATTTGTCCCCAAATGCATTATCAAAACAAAGGAATTTATCATCTGGCTAAGATAGGACATGAATATAATACAGCCATTGATTTTTTGACTTGGGATATTAGCGATCCCATTTGCTGTGTAGATGCTGATTAAGTTTACAGAGCACTTTCTTAAACTTGAGATAGAGACTAATAACTTGGTTGTATGTGAGGAAACCAAATCAGCAACAAAAAATTGGCTCACCTGCAATCAGGATTGGAGGTTGAATTAGAACTAAGAGCACTGGCCAAAGCTTTTCACTACACTTTTTTTTTTTCCTGAAGGGAAACAGAAGTAGCAATAGCCTTAGAAAGTAATGCAAAAATGTCTTAGGCAAGACTTCATCAAGAGGCAAGGGAAATAAACAATTTATGTACCAAAGGAGAGAACTCACCTGGAGCAGAATTTATCTTATGCTCTCTACTGAATTTAAGGCTTGCCATACAGGTGGCTAGTAATAATGTCATGTGTGATTCATACGTTTATGCACTATTCTAAGGTTAGTTCCTTGGTATCTCTAATTTTCTTGAGGAGGTCTCTAGTCTTCCCCCATTCAATTGTTTTCCTCTATTTCTTTGCACTGATCACTGAAGAAGCCTTTCTTATCTCTCTCCTTGCTATTTGTTGGAGCTCTGCGTTCAGATGAGTATATCTTTCCTTTTCTCCTTTGCCTTTCACTTCTCATATTTTCTCAGCTATTCGTAAGGCCTCCTCAGATAACCATTTTGCCTTTTTTGCATTTCTTTTTCTTGGGGATGATCTTGATCCCCATCTCCTGTATGATGTCTTGAACCTCCATCCAGTTCTTCAGGCACTCTTAACAGATCGAATCCCTTGAATCTATTTGTCACTTCCACTGTATAATTGTAAGAGATTTGATTCAGGTCATACCAGAATAGCATAGTGATTTTATCTACTTTCTTCAATTTAAGTCTGAATTTGGCAATGAGTTCATGATATGAGCCACAGTCAGCTCCCAGTCTTGTTTTTGCTGACTGTATAGAGCTTCTTTTTCAGCTACAAAAACAGAATCAATCTGATTTCAGTATTGACCATCTCGTGATGTCCATGTGTACAGTTATCTCTTGTGTTGTTGAAAAGGGTGTTTGCTATGATCAGCATGTTCTCTTGGAAAAACTCATTAACCTTTAACCTTTGCCCTATTCATTTGGTACTCCAAGGCCAAACCTGCCTATTACTCCAGGTATCTCTTGACTTCCTACTTTTGCATTCCAGTCCCCTATGATGAAATTTCAGTTCAGTGCAGTTCAGTTGCTCAGTCGTGCCCAACTCTTGGCGACCCCATGAACCACAGCACACCAGGCCTCCCTGTCCATCACCAACTTCCGGAGTTTACCCAAACTCACGTCCATTGAGTCAGTGATGCCATCCAACCATCTCATCCTCTGTCGCCCCCTTCTCCTCCTGCCTTCAATCTTTCCCAGCATCAGGGGCTTTTCAAATGGGTCAGTTCTTCACATCAGGTGGCCAAAATATTGGAGTTTCAGCATCAACATCAGTCCTTCCAATGAACACTCAGGACTGCTCTCCTTTAGGATGGACTGGTTGGACCTCCTTGCAGTCCAAGGCACTCTCAAGAGTCTTCTCCAACACCACAGTTCAAAAGCATCAATTCTTCGGTGCTCAGCTTTCTTTATAGTTCAACTCTTACATCCATACATGATTACTGGAAGAACCATAGCCTTGATTAGACAGACCTTTGTTGACAAAGTAATGTCTCTCCTTTTTATTATGCTTTCAAAGTTGGTCATAGCTTTTCTTCCAAGGAGTAAGCATCTACTTATTTCATGGCTGCAGTTACCATCTGCAGTGATTTTAAAGGCCCAAAAAATAGAGTCAGTCATTGTTTCCCACCTATTTGCCATGAAGTGATGGGACCAGATGCCATGATCTTAGTTTTCTGAATGTTAAGCTTTAAGCCAACTTTTTCACTCTCCTCTTAAACTTTCATTTAGTTTAAACTTTCTTTAGTTCTTCACTTTCTGCCATAAGGGTGGTGTCATCTACATATCTGAGGTTATTGATATTTCTCCTGGTCATCTTGATTCCAGCTTGTGCTTCATCCAGCCCAGCGTTTCTCATGATTTACTCTGCATATAAGTTAAATAAGCAGGGTGACAATATACAGCCTTGATGTACTCCTTTTCCTATTTGGAACCAGTCTGTTGTTCCATGTCCAGTTCTAACTTGCTTCCTGACCTGCATACAGAATCCTCAAGAGGCAGGTCAGGTGGTCTGGTATGCCCATCTCTTTCAGAATTTTCCACACTTTATTGTGATCCACACAGTCAAAGGCTTTGGCATAGTCAATAAAGCAGAAATAGATGTTTTTCTGGAACTCTTGCTTTCTCCATGATCCAGCAGATGTTGGCAATTTGATCTCTGGTTCCTCTGCCTTTTCTAAAACCAGCTTGAGTATCTGGAAGTTCACGGTTCATGTATTGCTGAAACCTGGCTTGGAGGATTTTGAGCATTAATTTACTAGCATGTGAGGTGAGTGCAATTGTGTGGTAGTTTGAGCATTCTTTGGCATTGCCTATGATGAAAAGGACATCTTTTTTTGATGTTAGTTCTAGGAGGTCTTGTAGGTTTTCATAGAACCATTCAACTTCAGCTTCTTGAGTTTGAGTAAGGTCTGGGAGATGGTGATGGACAGGGCAGCCTGGTGTGCTGCAGTCCATGGGGTCGTAGAGTCAGACTCGACTGAACAACTGAACAACAAAGGTTAGTCCACTTCTTGTGTTCTTTCTACTGTCTACACAATTGATGAGAATATCAGAGTTTTAAAATCCAGAGTCAAAAGCATTATTGGGAATTCTCTGGCAGGTCCACTGGCTGGGATTCTGAGCTTTCCAGTTCAGGGTTCAGTCCCTGGTCAGGGAACTAAGCTCCCTATAAGATGCCTGGCCTGGCCGAAAACAAAAGTCTCATAGTCAAAAGCATTATTAAAATAGGGTCTGGGGTCATACATAAAAATTCCTTCCCTCAAAGTACTTGCAAATGCGATGGAACACTGCTTGCTCAAGTAAATAATTGTGTATTATTATAAAAATGCTGGGTAGAAGGATGGACAGCGTAATTCATTAACACAACTATGGTGTTCAGCTCAATTTTGAAGAAAGTGGGCAAATTCTGGCAATTAACATGGCGCCGGAAGGTAGAAAATCTTAAGTGAGCGTGGATCTTCTGGGTGGTGCATATTTAGGCATTAGGAACTTATTCCCTAAGAGAAGGGATTGCAGCCAGAGGTAACCCAAAACGTCCCAAATTAGTATTTTTGTAACGTGGCTGGGCTGACCACAGAATAGGCAAAGAAGGACACAGTTGGAACCCAAATGTTTAAGCCCTACTACCATGTGCTCGCTGTCAGGGATTCAACAGCACAATTCCTTCCCTCATAGAGTTCATAAATTCAGAGCACACGCTAAACACAACTACTGTAAGTAAACTACATGGCATATTAGGAAGTGTTAAGTGGCGGGGGTCCGACAGTATTTGGAGTTCCAATTCTACATAAGATAGCCAAGGAGAACCTCGCATTTGAGCAAAGTCCTGAAGAGCGATGAGGATAAGAACCTTCGGACATTCTGGGGCAGGACGCGAAAGGCGGGGGCAGCGAGTGTCGCATTATCAGAATTTACAGCAGCACAAGGCCCAACGGGTACCTGGGAGGGCAAAATTGCTGCGAGTCAGAACGCTTTCCAGGCAAAACTTAGCGGGCCGCTGCTAGCAGGGACTCCAGCCATCAATGATTTTGTCCACCAATCCGAATCTCTCTCGACTCACACTTGGCCCCAGCGCCGACCAGACCACGCCCACCGCCCACCGCCCACAGGGCTCTGCAATGGGCGGCCCCTCGTTGCTCCGCCCCGCGACCCGCGCGCTTGCGGAGAAGCCAAAGGTCAGAGGTCGTGAATCCGTCATGGCGGCGCTGTGTCGGACCCGTGCCGTGACTGCCGAGAGTCATTTTCTGCGAGTGTTTCTCTTCTCTCGATCCTGTCGAGGAACAGCCACTGAGAGTGGCTCCGGAAGCGAGAGTTCTGATTCCACGGAGCCGAGGCCGCGCTCAGGGGGCTTCGCGAGCGCTTTGGAGCGGCTCTCGGAGCTGCAGCGGAAGGCGGAGCTCGGCCCGACGAGGGTGAGTCGCGATAGCTAAGCCAGGCACTCGTTGGCGGGCGGGGCCGGGGTTGGGGGCGGAGTCAGGGTGGAGCCCGCCGTTATGGGTGGAGCCGGGGGCAGGGCGGAGCTTGGCGTCGTCGTCGGGGTCGGCTAAGTTGGGTGAGACCAAGCGAGGCGGGGCCGGGGGCGGGGTCCAGCGTAGGAAGTCGAGTCTGGGCTGGTCGCTGGGAAAAATGTGCGGCTGTGTGTTTCGTCGGTTTGTTGTACTTCTGTATCGTATCTACATGTTGGGCTTTCGTTGTCCACACTCCTTTGAACGCGTCTTCTGAATTGAGTGCTAGATGGGAAACCAGCAGCGAGAGCTGCCGGCAGCACGTCTAGGGCGACTCCTGGGACTTCGAGTAGGACTCAACGCTGGAAGAGGCTGGGCTCTCGGCTTCTCTTGTGCACAGTAGCTGCAGCGTGGAGCTCAGTGTCTGGTGTTCCAGGCTCTTCAGAAATATTTCTTAATTCAGTGGATAGGTAAATGACAGAATTAGTGTCACTATGAAGTTGAGCAAGTAATTTAACCTATCAGTGCTTCACTTTTTCTATAAATGACCTTTAAAAAAAAAAACCCGTCTGCCCCAGGCAATTATTCTGTAAAATACGATAGAATTATTAGATAGGTGAAATGGAAGAAATAGGCAGAAATACAAATTAGATTTTTTTGAGCTAGCAGACATGAAGTTGGCAGTATTAAACTGTATAAAAATAAACTCCCGATTTCTGTACTTAGCCCCTTGGGAACCAGTCCCAAACAGTTCACAGACGGGTAGTGTCCTGAGTTACAGAAAACCGCCTGGCATCTAGCACAGTGCTTGACTGTTAGTGGGCACTCCGTGTTTGCCAGATGAGAGAATGAAGGAATAGAACGCACAGTGCACATTTGAACTTCAAGACAGCCTGGGCAGTCTTTGAATTGAGATTTCTGTGTGACAGCTCACAAACAGTTAAACAAGGATAGCACAGGCTTGAGCACGTAAATAAAACATGCTTGTCCAGAATAATAACAGAGCAATAAGAAAATTGTCAGAGTAATAAGAAAACCGAACACACCACGTTAGTTTTATTTTAGTGTTTATTGGAGGTATTCAGTATTTTTCTGCCATATTTATTATGAGGACTATGAGTAATTGATAGATATTGGTGCAAAGACTCAATTTTGTGAAAAATCTTTCATTTCGCTCTTCGAAGTTTCTGGAACCATTCAATTGCAGAGTATCCTGACATTACAAGATGAATAAAGTTTGTCTTTATTGTGTGATCAGGAATTTTGAAAAAAATTGTAAAGTATAAAAGTGATGTGAAAGGAGAATATAAATAGCACTGAAGGTTACTATGTGCATATAAAAGCCTCCTTTCCCTCATTTTCTCAAAGCTGGAAGGTGTATTTTTATAAATGTATACTACTAGAGATTTTATGTATGCATATACGAGTATAAGTTATTTATATATACAGATATACTTAAAAACATACAGGTTTTTGAACTACATCATTAGTGTTTAAGAATGAAAGCTCTGGATTCAGACAGTCTTGGTTTGAATTATGATTCTTCTATCATTTACTGCCTGTGTTTCCTTGAAAAGTTATGTAATATCCATGTATCTTCTTTTCCTTTTTTTTTTTAATAACAGGAAACTCTATCATGGGATTATTATGAAACTAAATGAATTCATTATTTAAACATTTAGTACAGGGACCTGGTAATGAGCACTCAGTATATTTTCATTGCTGCTGCTGAAAATTGCTCTTTTCACTTAAGTATAACTTTGAATATTTTTCCTTATCATTATATATGTGTAGTGTAGTGTGCTTACCCTTCTCCCTAGGTATCCAACAAGGGATTGGTTCCAGGAGCCTCTGTGATACCCAAATCCTGGATACTCAAGTCCCTTATATAAATGGTACAGTCTGCAGCTTCCACATCTGCAAATACAGGAGGCTATCTGTATACCTAACTGAAAAAATATTTGTTTGGCATTCCATGGTTTGGATGTAGCATTTTTTATCTAACCAGACCTTCATTACTAAACTTCTAGGCTTTTTTTCCCCCTCCCCTTAATGCTACAGTGAGCATTTACATTTTTTCTGCATATTTATAGGGCTTCCCCAGTGACTCAGCGGTAAAGAATGTGCCTGCCAATACAGGAGATGGGGGTTCAATTCCCGGGTGGGAAAGATCCCCTGGAGAAGGAAATGGCAACCCACTCCATTAGTCCTGCCTGGGAAATCCTGTTGTCAGAGGAGTCTGATGGGGCTACAGTCCTTGGGATTGCAAAAGAATTGGACATGACTTAGCCACCAGGTGGCTCAGTGGTAAAGAATTCACCTGCCAGTGCAGAAGATGCCGGAGACGCCAGTTCAATCCCTGGGTCGGGAAGATCCCCTAGAGTAGAAAATGGCAACTTGCTTCAGTATTCTTGCCTAGAAAATTGCATGAACAGAGGAACCTGATGGGCTACAGTCCATGGGGTTGCAAAGTCAGACATGACTGAGCACGCCCTTATCCACATATATGGGATATATACTGACTAACAGTGTGCACACACAGTTTGAGTTTTGATAGATACAGACTGTAGCACACTCCCACTTACAGTGCATGACAGTGCCTCTTTCCCCACCCACTTACACATGTGGGGTATTATAAGTGGGTTTTCTTGGTATTGGGCAGTCAAAACAAAGTACAGAAATTGAGAACTGGGTTGTTTATCCCTCACTTCTGATACTAGTTTGTAATTTTTATCAAAATAATTGCATGTTCACAGTTTTTGACTTAATATTAAGTAAATTCTGTGAATTTGAACTGATAAAATGCACTTATACCAACAAAATACTATGCTTATTGTTATATATATTGGGTTCTATATAAGATTTAATTTGTAACATGGTTTCTGCTTTAAAGAAAGCTTTTGGAGCGTAGAAAGTTTGCTCTTCCCTAAACACAGCATGATATCTTTACCTTTGCTCTTCCCCCTAAAATTAGCTTCCCTGCCTACAAACTCCATAGTAAAAATCATCTCTTGTTTTAGGCCTTTATCATCTCACCAACCAGATGAAACTTGTATTGAAAGTCCAGGTGCTTAGATTAAGATATGTGTGTGTGTGTGTGCGCGCTTAGTCGCTCAGTCGTGCCCAACTCTTTGGGACCCATTGGACTGTAGTCCACCAGGCTCCTAGGTCCATGGATTCTCCAGGCAAGAACACTGGAATGGGTTACCATGCTGTCCCCCAAGGGATCTTCCCAACCCAGGAATCGAGCCTGCATCTCCTCTGTCTCCTGTATTGCAGCCAGATTCTTTACTCGCTGAGCCATCAGGGAAGCCTATGTGTATATATATGAAAGTGAACACATACACACGTATATACATATGAATGAATGAATGAAAGTTAACCTTGTACCCATTGGTTACATTCTTATCTTTAAAATGTAGACACGTGTATCTATATGTGCACCTCAGAAATAGGAAATATTCAGTAAGAACCAAGCAAGTTATCCTTAAAAGGAACTTTCTTTTCCCCTGCAGGCAGGTATTTAATCAAGGGCAATTCATGTGAATTCCCTATCTTAAAATTTCAGCCGTCTCAGGCTGAATGGATACAAAAGCAAGACCCCTATATATGCTGTCTACAAGAGACCCACCTCAAAGCAAGGGACACATACAGACTAAAAGTGAAGGGCTGGAAAAAAATATTCCACGCAAACGGAGACCAAAAGAAAGCAGGAGTCGCAATACTCATATCAGATAAAATAGACTTTCAAATAAAGACTGTGAAAAGAGACAAAGATGGACACTACATAATGATCAAAGGATCAATCCAAGAAGAAGATATAACAATAATAAATATATATGCACCCAACATAGGAGCACCGCAATATGTAAGGCAAACGCTAACGAGTATGAAAGAGGAAATTAATAGTAACAATAATAGTAGCAGACTTTAATACCCCACTCACAACTATGGATAGATCAACTAAACAGAAAATGAACAAGGAAACACAAACTTTAAAGGACACAATGGACCAGCTAGACCTAATTGACATCTATAGGACGTTTCACCCCAAAACAGTCAACTTCACCTTTTTCTCAAGTGCACACGGAACCTTCTCCAGAGTAGATCACATCCTGGGCCATAAATCTAGTCTTGGTAAATTCAAAAAGATTGAAATCATTCCAGTCATCTTTTCTGACCACAGTGCAGTAAGATTAGATCTTAATTACAGGAAAAAAATTATTAAAAATTCAAACATATGGAGGCTAAACAACACGCTTCTGAATAACCAACAAATCATAGAAGAAATCAAAAAAGAAATAAAAATATGCATAGAAATGAATGAAAATGAAAACACAACAACCCAAAACCTATGGGACACTGTAAAGGCAGTGCTAAGGGGAAGATTCATAGCATTACAGGCCTACCTCAAGAAACAAGAAAAAAGTCAAATAAATAACCTAACTCTACACCTAAAGCAACTAGAGGAGGAAGAAATGAAGAACCCCAGGGTTAGTAGAAGGAAAGAAATCTTAAAAATTAGGGCAGAAATAAATGCAAAAGAAACTAAAGCGATCATAGCAAAAATTAACAAAGCTAAAAGCTGGTTTTTTGAAAAAATAAACAAAATTGACAAACCATTAGCAAGACTCATTAAGAAACAAAGGGAGAAGAACCAAATTAACAAAATTAGAAACGAAAATGGAGAGATCACAACAGACAACACCGAAATACAAAGGATCATAAGAGACTACTACCAGCAGCTCTATGCCAATAAAATGGACAACTTGGAAGAAATGGACAGGTTCTTAGAGAAGTATAACTTTCCAAAACTGAACCAGGAAGAAATAGACGATCTTAACAAAACCATCACAAGCAAGGAAATCGAAACTGTAATCAGAAATCTTCCAGCAAACAAAAGCCCAGGACCAGATGGCTTCACAGCTGAATTCTACCAAAAATTTAGAGAAGAGCTAACACCTATC